CCCTTTCATTTTACTCATTTGGCGCTTTGCTCCGCCCTTTCCCCAACAAGAGGTCCCTTGCTGACCAGCCCTCCCTCACGACGCGACGAGCTTTGGCCTGGGCCCTGCGTTTCCAGAGGTCGTCGCGACGATGCTGGAGTGGATGCAGGCGAACGAGATCGGGTGGCGAATCGAAAGCGGATACCCCGTGCTTTCTGTTTGCGCTGGGGGGTCAGGTCTCAATCAGCCCAGAATCTTGTTTGATTTTGCCAAAGAAACCCAAAAGGGGAGTCGGTAGTTTCAAACCTTGTCTAACTGCCTTCTTTTGGCGTTCAGATCACAAGGGTTATGCCTAGTTCAACAGGTACTGGCTAATCTTGTTTCGATACCTTGTGTATTTGCAGATATGTTCTTCTCAGGAAACCTGAAGCTTGCTGCAAGGATTGTCGACTTTGGCAAGCGATCGCGTCAGCCTGTGCAAGTCGAGTTTGCCGGTTGACTCGGGCACCCCGCGCATTTTCAACTGCCAAACCTCAAGCCGGAGTGATGCCCCGATGGCCCGTCGATGGCAGGCTGCGGTGGTCATGCACGACTGGGCGCGGCGGCAGCGGGCCCAACCGTCCGACTGACGCTGGCGGTACGACCGCGGACCGAAAAAGTCGGGAGACTGCGCTGCCCGGCGAAGCATTGGTCCTGAACTGCGATTGGCTTTAGTCCAAAAGGTTTGGGCCGTGGGTATTGGCCATTCGGTAGCTGGTAGCTGATAGGTGTGTTGTAGTACGGCAAGTTGTTTTTGTTGGTACAAGGTCCTGGAGCAGATGATTTGTTCAGTGGCCACAGACAACCTGGGCACGTAATGAAGGCCACTTTGTTAGTCTTTGTTAGTATCAAAACCCGCAGATATTCGGTTCGGACTTGGGCGCTAGAACAGCAGAGGTACCTGCGCAGTTTTCCCTCCACCCGTCGAAAGGACGGGCCGCCGGAAGTCCAGTCAAAGACGTTCCGGCCTGGTTGTGCATGGCCATGGGTCATTTGACCCCAACCCAACCACTAAAATCGGTTCTAAAATGGGTGGTGCACCTACCCCGAAATGGGATCCCATGGGTTTTGACTCCCCACAGCCACATGGTTCATGGCTCATCTACAATTAGGCGTGCGGAGATTACGCTTGCAACGGAAACTCGGGGCAAAAGAGCCATCCCGCAAGCTTCCGAGCAGCTTCGAAAGGCCAATGCTGGATTTGTCAGGCGACCCCAACGGGGTAAATAAGTTTGAGGTGGGTCCCTACTTGTTGAAATGACCAAACTGTCCCACACCAACTTCGCCCATATTGGGGCGTGGACTCTTCTTTGGGAAACATCCATGTGAGCACCTGACAGAATCACTTGTAGGCAGTGGTAGTTTGGGGTGGACATAGGCCCACCCAAGTTTCTTACAAAAAAGCTAGGGGGCCACCCATTTATCCCACATGCTGTTGAATGCGAATGATACCGGATGGACAGAATCCTGCACCCAATGTTTTCCCATGGTTTTGAAGTGGTGCAGGATTTCGTCCATCCTTTGTGTCTGTTCGACATGGCATCCAGGTCTGATGTCATGTGGGAATTGGCCGCTTGCCCGGGCCCGGGAGACTTGCCTGGCTCGCAGTCAGTCGTAGCAGTCACTCGCTGTCGAATCACGTAAGTTTTTCGTCGTTGAATATGGAATACTCCTCAATGGTTGGCGGACATTAATTTTCATGTGAAGGAAGTCCACCAAAGGGTCCCAATTAACATTCATACCTACAGTACCCATATGCCCCTCGGCATTGATCGTTTGGAGCCACAAGAGTTTGGTCGTATGGTCGTAGCCCGGATAGGCAGGAGGGAAGTGTTTACCAGCAATGTCCAATGAGTGTCCTTTTGCAACGGCTTGATTTGGAAGCCAGCATTCTCTTTCAGCTCAGCGTTATTTGGCGAAAGCTGTCCGTTGAGCTGCCCGCGTCATGACTCCGAAGTATGCGGAGAAGTACAAGACGATCCGTCTGGACACGATCGATGGCGTGTGCGTTGCAACTATGGACTCGGGTGACAAGGGAGGGGTCAACCTGATCACTGGCAAGCTCTTCAAGGAGCCTGCCTGATTTCATAAGTGATCAGTAGAAGTCATATTTTCTGCCCTGACTTCGTACTTTGAGAGGACTTGCCATCGACTCCATTCTTTGCTGCCGCCCGCTTAAATTGTTTGCTTGCTGGAATTGTGCTGCTTGCAATACCTTCAATGCTGAATCCGGCCGCAAACGACGACAACCTTAGAAAGAGCTTCCCGAGACATTACACTAGCAGTTTGCTGCTGAGATTGCTTCTTGAAAGGGGAGGATTTCACTTGCGAAGAGGAGTTTGGAGACATGGTCAAGAACGTGGCGCGTGACGATTCCATCCGGGTGTTGGTGGTTCGCAGCGCGAATGAGTCACAGCTGCAATCATCCGAATGTGTCAACATGTCGGGCTTGCAATGCGCGCGCTTTCCGCCCTAGTTTGGTGGTCACAGGGCCTAGAAGATTCTCGCATCGGCTTCGGTGTGGACTGGGGGTGAGCGTGCGGCCTGTCAACCTTTTTATTTAGGCCCTTGGATTGTGCTCCCTGAAAGAGGGGGTCCTTGTCGGGTCTCACAAGGCGCCAGTGGTGTGGGATGCGGGTGCTCCTTTCTTGATGTTTACTATTTTACCGCAGGCGTCAGCTGTTCAGTTCGGCAAAAGTGCGGGCCATGATCCGCATGATCTGCTTCTTTTCTGCTTACATCCCCGAACATCGACCCCTTCCTTAGGCCAAGCTTGGCTCTTGTTAACATCCCTCGAGCCACGTCACCGGCCCCATTTAGGAACACTTCTGGCTGGCGCACCTGGATGTGCGCAGCATCCTGGAGGAACCGAACCCCCCAGTGGAGCGGGGGCAGGTGCTCAACCAGTGGCATTCCAACATGGAGATCCTGCGGAACATGCCCAAGGCGAGGCCGGACGGATGAATCCGGACCTGCCCTGAGCGGAAAATGGTCGACCCATGTGAGACAGATAATTGAAACCACCACAAAAATCGACAAGGACCAGCAGGTCCTAATCTGTAGTATGTTCGCAAAGACAAGATAAAGTCCGCCGGAGACAGAATCTGTTATCATGGACAAGTGCGTGCACGTTACAGGATGTGTGAGAGGCGCCGTGGTGATGTGCATGCACTTGGGGTCAGCAGGGATGGTAATCCACCTGGTAGTAAGGATCCTTAATAGCCATCATCACGACTCCTACTAAGGGAACCATGACCAAAGGCCAAAAAACGGAGTTGACCATGGCCCACATGTGCATTGGGAAGCCCATCCCATTTCCTCCATCCAAAGAGCCGGGTCCTGAGCCATGCCTCTGGCAATTGACTCACCAAACTTTCCGACAGAGACTCACATTCTCTCATGTCCATTGTATAGGAAGCGCATATGTCAGTGGCGACATGTGCGACGCGGTGCAACGACCTGCTTGCTTGGTTGCCGATGTTCATGGGTCATTTGCTTCGGTGTCAACCAACCAGCATAAAGATTCCTATGTAGGGAATCATGACCATGGCCCACAACAGGAGTTTTGACCAGCTTGATCATGGCACATGCTTCGCCTTCCTGGTACCTCCCCTATGCGAGTGGGATGGCAAAAGGCCGCCTAAGGGAAACCACAAGCACACCAACGGGAAAAGGACGGGCGAACCTTCCCCCGGCATTTTTGAACTCGGGTCCTGTTGTGGGATCCTGGTATCATTTTTTTCTGCCTTGAAAGGACGTCTCTGCAACCTAGGTTGTTGCTTGGTTCCGGCTTCATCCTTTTGACATCTTGGACAAATCACCATCTCCCGCTCTGAAGAGCAAGCAGGGTAAGTTGTTGAAACAAACAGAGGCCACTCATTTTGTCAACCACTTGGGTTTGCGTCAAGCCAGAGTCTCAAAATTAGTGGTGTTCTTGATTTCCCTTTCAAAACCATCCCAAAATTAGTGGTACCCAGCCTCAAAAAATGACAGGCCCACCCCCCCTCCCCCTGGACACCTTCCCCGGGTCGTGCCTCGCGCAAGCGGCCAGCCCACCATCGCTGAGCTGGCGGGGCGTGTGGGCGGTGGCGGCCACGAGTTCGCCATGCGCCCGGGCAGCAGTCAGCCCAACTCCCTATGTCTCCCCTGGCCCCTAGCAAAAAGGTGCAGCTGTGTATTTGGCTGTGGGTCAAAAACCAATGGTACCATTTTGGGGTAGGTGCACCACCCATTTTAGTCTATTGCTTAGTCTATTTTAGTGGGGATTGGGATGTTCACTGGGGGTACGGGCTTTTGACCCATGGCCATTTCTCATTTGTTTACCCTCCCACCAACTAACATGGAAAAGCATAGAGCGTAGAAAGACGACTGTCCTCTTGGAAAGGGGCTTTTCGCACTTCCATGTTAGTTGGTGGGAGGGTATTTGTTTACCGCTTTATCTCCCCGTGCGTTACTTCCAATCTATTTTTATAGATCTCCTATAAGATAGTCAAACATTGATGAACTACGAACGTGCATGCATACGTATGAATGCAACTCCTCACGACCTGCAGCCATGGTCAGTCGCCCCTCCCGCCCCCCCCCCCCCCCCTGGCACAGTCGCTCCCCATGTCGCCTTTTATTTTTTCTTTTTGCAGGTGGGCTTCACTTCAAGTTTAGCCAGCACGAAAATGTTTTCTCTTTTTCCCTAGGTTGGGGGCAAGTGAAAAGCACGTTTTGGGCGGATTCGGCCGCGATGAGCGAGGTTTGGCACTCGTACCATGAGTCTACCTTGTGCGTTCAGTTCTTGACGTAGAAAGGACTTTGCCAACCCAGCGTAGAGGGCCCGTTGCCTCCACTGTGAAATGTCTCACGCCGAAATGTATGTGGAACGTAGACATGGTTGTTGTTGGGAAGCGTTTTACATTTTGGCTTATTGTGGTTTAGTGGTTAAATTTTTGCTCCCCTTCCAACGTCAACCAAGTAGACGCAAACGAATTTGCCCATGCCGTTTCCTTCCCGGGCCAATGTTTCTGCCCGCGGAGGAACTTCGACATGCGCTTTGGCCTCTACGGCGCCACTCAGATTTGCGCCTGGTCTCAAGAACTCGGGATACGGCAAGCAAAGGCGGAATAGTATGCATGATGCATAGCTGTTCGCATGTATGTATATATTGATATTTGTTGTACTGCTGCATATGTGCATATACACACATGAGAGTCGTCCGAAAGGTCCTTGTAGTGAGCTATGAAGGGGAAGACCTTTTGGTCTTAGCGTTGACCTTCGCGAAAGTTCCGCGAAGGGGGGGGTCACGAAAGTTGTTTTTTTCCTCGAAGGTTTTGTGTGGCTTGCTAACAGGAAGCTGGAGTGATGAACTATGTGTATTTACCGGCAGTGTGCGCAGAATGCCCGCAGACTAGAGTTGGTCGGAGAATGCGCAGCCCGAGGGTCGCCGCACGAATACGCCGCTGCAAAAGCAACCCCCCAGCCAGCAGAAACCAGCTTCTGGGAGTTTTGAAGCTGTCGGGGCAAGTTGAGCGCAACTTCCAGCCGGATTTTCGCGAATGTTTGGCGCAAGATCCGCGAAAGTTTCGCGAAAGTCGACGGACATGAGGCCCTCAGGTCCTCTAGTGCGTAGCTCACAGCTTGTGAGCTGGAGCACTTTGGAACTGAAAGCTTGCGACTTTCGAGCTGGGGCTGCGGAAGTTCACTTTGTGTACTACTTTCGTATTGAAAAGTTTTGACTTTCGAGGCTGAGGAAGTTTAGTTCGTGTACTACTTTCGTGTTCAATCCGGGCTGTAGCATATATATATACATATATATATATTATTATACTATATTATATATATGTTTGTTATATATATATATATAAAATGTCATATTTGTACTTTCATGTACGCCGCTGCGGACACGAACACATGCATAGATACATGCGTGCACATCATCCATTCATCCATCCGTCCGCCCGTCCATTGGCGCACGCATGCATCTTTGCATCCAACTCAGGACCTGAACTCCACTTTTCGGTTTGAAAGCTGAAAGCAGTTTCCCTATGTTCCTGTCAGATTCCGTTTCCCGTTTTGGCATCCCAGAACAGTGTCATGTATATTGCTGTCTGCGTTTGTCCAGTGGGATGCGCCGCCTGAGAAAGAACCCCATGAGGTCTGCAAATGTTCAGCAATGAGGCGCATTGACGGCCAAAAAGAGCCAGACAACACTTTTCAGCGCTCGAGGGTGGATGGCGATTGGTTCCATATTTTCAGATCTTGTTGTTTCGCGGATATTCAGCTTCGTCATGAAATTCCTTTCTGTTGGCGAGGGTTTTGTTACTTGGCGGCGCATGTGGCCGAATGATGAACATAGAGCCCGCCCGCAAAGACCCACCGACTCCCGGATCCTTGTGCACGCCGTTCAACGCCTCTACACTAAGCATGACCCAGGTTGACCGAGGCAAAAAGTTGCCATCCCAAAGCGTCATAGGATCCAATCCCCGTCTTTTTCCCAAAGCAAAGCAAACACCGTAAGGCCTTGATGAGTTTGAACAAGACTCGCTGAGCTGAGTTCTTTTTTCCACCAGGGCGAGGGTTCCACGAGCTTGTGCGAGGGCTGCGGGTTGGTGCGAGCACTAAAAAAGAGCACCGCATGCTGTTGGGGATATCACCTGAGCTTATTTTTTCTTTGGTGCATTTTGGGGTTTTCCACTAAACCACTAAAAGTTAAACTTTTAGCAGGGGAGCAGAAAGAAACCAAGTTTTTCCCCGAGGCCAGATGGAAGTGCCGCTGGGCATCATCCCGGGGGGCGGCGCCTGTGCGAACCTCCAGCGCTTCCTGGGCGCGGGCCGGGCCATGGAGGCGAGGTTTTTTCGGGGACTCCTTGCGGTGGGGGACTCCTTGCTGCCATTTGCTTAAAAATATGTTCTTTTATTTTCCCTTGTTGGTTTTAAAAGGATTTTGTCACTACTGGACATATGTTTAGATTTTTTTTTCCCAGGTCTTAAGCAAATGGAAGCTTGCGAGGGGGAGATGGTGTGTTAGTGCAACCAATCCACGCGAATCTTCCAAGAAAATTGGGTAGCGGCCTAGTTGAATTCCAGAAACATGATGACCCGATTGAAATATACATGGCCATGGTTCAAAACCAATGGTACCATGTTGGGATAGGTGAATTCACCACCCATGTTAGAACCTATTTTAGTGGGGATTGGGATGTTCACTGGGGGGTATGGGCTTTTGACCCATGGTCACATGTTTTTTTCTTTTTTTTTTTTTTTTTTTTTCGGGGGAGCAAAAGTGGAGTGCCCACGCCCAGTGTGCGCTTCGAGCATGTTTACCTCAAATTGATATTGGGGAACCACCCGAATTTTGGATGCAGATTCAGGGAATTCGGAAATCGCCACTTTCCGGGTCCCACTTTTTGTCCGGACACCCTCACATAACCAGCACTTTGTCTCACTTTCATAGGATTCAACACTCCCTCCCTAACCTCCCTTGTTTAAATGTGTTCAAAATTCTATTGTTGAACAACCTTCTCGTGGTTTCTCTTTGCAAAAGGGCCAGGATTTACTTGTTGAAACAACACTTGCCCAACTTTGCCGACCATAGACCGGCCCACATCAACCTCAGCAGAGTCCAAGATGGTTTGCACAACCCCCCAACAACTGTCCACAAGGAAAAGAGGGCTAGACAACCACTGCATAGTCAATATATACGAGGTACTATCCTTTTTGTTCTTGGGGGGAATGGTTTGGGAACCATTTGAGACAAAGACGGCAAGAGGTGACGCAAGAAAAGACACATAGCAGCACTTCACAAGCTCAACACTGCCATCACACAAGACCACGTACTCCACATATTGCCAACACACCCAAAAACCCACAGTGGTGCTTACAGAGAGAGCCGTTCCAATCCATGTGCTCCGAAGCTGAAAAGCTCTCTCTCCTTTTCAGCTGACTTTCGATGGGGAATACCCTCTACTATCATGGTTGTTGTTGGGAAGCATTTTACATTTTTGCTTATTGTGGTTTGGTGGTTGAAATCCCCACTTAACTGCTAACAACTTGATAATTTTTGCTCCCCTTCCAACGTCAACCAAGCAATTGTTGGACGTAAATCCCGGCACAAATGGTATCCAACTTATTCAGAGCTCAACTTATCCCAGGCTGCAGCTTGGCTTATCAACTGGGCTTCTCCACATAGCCCCCCCCTCCCCCAGCCCATAGGTTCCCCCTCCTGGGGTCGACCGAAGGGTCCATTTTCGTTAGCTCGTGGGGTTTCAGGTGGTTCTGGGTCAAGAATAGGTACCAAAGCTAAACACTGGTAAATGTAACCAAGGACGATTTAACCTGCGGTCCAATTCCTGGTGGTTCATTTTGACCCATGCCCAGGTGATCCTAGCGGGCGAGGATCTGAGCGCCGAGACGGCGGAGCGCTGGGGCCTGCTGAACCGCTGCTTCCAGAGCCGCGGCGAGCTGCAGGAATTCCGGTGGCGAGAGGGGGTTGGGGTGGTTGGGGTAGGGCGGGGGGCGACCGGGCGGGTGGTTGGAAGCCCGAAGATCAGGTTGACCCCGGATTCAGTTGGCCCTGGGTCAACACCGTTTTGGGATCCCATTTTGGGATAGGATTTGTGCACCACCCATGTTAGAAGCTATTTTAGTGGGAATTGGAATGTTCACTGGGGGTACGATTTGGGTTTTGACCCCTAGCCATTTAAACCGGTTCTGTCAATGGGGAGGTGGTCCCTCTCCAAAAGTGAGCGATTGTTTGCTTAAAGGGCACCCCCTATGAATCAACCAGGAGTTTGTTAACCCGGGGTTCCCATTTGTTGAAACAATAGTGGAAAGAACTGGTGGTCACCGAAGGGAAAAATGGTGGATGCTCAAACAAGAGTTTGGTGGCGGAAACAGTAGCATCTGAGCGTTTAGATGCCTACAGCCCTCCAAACACCGAGCAAGTGACGCATGCAGCGAAGCAGCCTCTTGGGTCATTGACTAAACTTGAGTAGCTGTTGGGTCACGGCTGGCTGGTTGGTCCCCTCCAAAGTAGCAAGTACCAACAAGGCAGATATCAGGTGGGGCTGCTCGGATTTGTTTTCAGGGCTCCCGGTGAATGGAGTATCTGTTTATATGGAGCTTGGCACAAGAGTCGGCTGTTCGCTCCGCATCCTGGCGTGTCTGAATTTCGTGGACTGTGAAGGAAGTTGCTCGAATCTATAGTCCTGCTCCATCTCAGAATTCTGTTTGTTCAGCCCTTCTGGTGATGTGCTGGCTTGCTTTGCAAGTGAACGAGGCTACCCACTTTACTATCTCAACACAACTTGCCACCTTCTTGGCCGCATGTCAAAGGTCTCACTGGTCACTTGTGGCCGGGATTCAGACAACTTCCTCCTGGCAACCATGACTAGGATTCCTGTTGATTTGCAATCACAACACCGCCCTTTATCCCTCTTTTCCTGTTGGCTTCCCAAATAACAAGCACCCCTTTGCTCGAAAACAGCTCAAATCTTACATCCACCCGGAACTTCTCCGGACAGTTGTCAAAAAGCATCCAAAAAAGGAAACCATGATGATAACTAGTACAGAGGTGGGTTTTATCGGAAACCAGAAGGTTGTCATGGTGGTTTGCCGTTGGTTCCCTCAATCCAGGGGGTCGTTGACTGTTCATTACACTTGGAGATGGTGTCCCTTTAAGTTACCACTTGGCCCGGGCCTTTTTGAGAATGTCTTACTCAAATTTAATGGACCTTGGCGGGGGAGGAGGGTTTTCGCTTCGCTTACCCAAACACCATCCAACAACCGTTTCTGGTCAGAAAATACGACCAAATCCAAAAGGGAAACCTTGATAGCTATGGGAAGCCCAAAGGTTTGGGTGGTTTCAATCCTGTTGGTGTCGATAGGTCAGTTTGGTACATTGATGGCACTTTCAGTCGGGTTCTAATCAGTTACCAGCGCCATCAGCACCATCGGTTCTTTCCTCCACAATTATGGACTCTTTACAGGGGGGTGCAAGCAAAGGGGCTGGGGGGGGCTCCCTAAGGCTCCCTACTCCGGGTATGGGTAAAAATTAAGCCACCAGGGCACCGCCGGTTTTAGTCCTTGTTTTAGGGCAACCCATTTTGGCGTCACCCGATTTTTGACCCGCGGTTGTATGAGAGACCCAGCCGCCAGTTCCTCCCTCAGGGCTCCCTAAGGGATGGCTCTCCTACCCCCCCGGCTGACCCGCTGGCCGCTCGCGGCCAGGCGCACGTGGAGACCTTGGCGCAGCGCCTGGCCTCCTTCGCCCCTGAGGCCATCCGCTGCGCCAAGGAGGCGGTGCTGGCGGCGGAGCGCATGCCCCACAGCGAGGCTGGACCCGGCCACGGGCGAAAACGGGGGGGTCACGCGTGAGGGTGGTGGAAATATATGGCTGTGGTCGAAACCGTTATGGCTTTGATCCCATTTTGGGATTGAATGCACCACCCATGTTAGAACCTGTTTTGGTGGGGATTGGGATGTTCACTGGGGGTATGGGGTTTTGACCCATGGCCATATGGCCGTGGGTCAAAAATCGGGTAGCCCCAAAATGGAACCCTGGTAAATGGAAACAAGGACTAAAACCGGCGGTTCCCTAGCGGTTTCATTTTGACCCATACTGAGTTTACAAAGATTTCGGACATTGTGTTGTGTTGTTTTGTTGAGCTTTCCGAAAATGGTGGCGGGAAGGGTCGGAAGACCAGAAACAGTTGGCTGGGAATCCGCAAGTTGGTCCAACTGAATGTGCTTGGTTTGAGGAACCGCTCAATGCACTAGGCGTGTGGTCATTCGGAGAATCGAGGGGTCGGCTTTACCATTGCCGCCAATGGGACGTGCTATGCCGACCACTGGGGCTTGACCCTTGACCTTTGACCTTCAACTTGTTTGTGAAGGATTGTTTCTCCACCCAGCACAAAGTGCCTCTTTTATCTATTGCTTGCTTGGTGTCAACAACGTTTTCTGAGGCTGCCCTTTCCAGGTCGGTACAATAAATCGACATGGCTGTGGGTCAAAACTAGGTACCCCAAATGGAGCCCTGGTGAATGGAAAGAAGGACTAAAACCTGCGGTCCAATTCCTGGTGGTTTTATTTTGACCCATACCCACATGATCACCGAAAGCCCCCCATGTCTTGTTTTTGCTTCCCTGGTGTCAACAGCCAACTTGTTGTGTTTTTTTTGAGGCCCTTTCCAGGTCGGTACAAATGGGCATGGTCACCGAAAGCAAACCGGTCTCAGCCCATGGCCTTGCGGTCCTACCGCAGGCGCTGAAGGAGAACCTGATGCTCTTCTACCGGTCCCTGCGGGGCCCACAGGCGCGGACGCGCATGGAGGCCTTCCTGCGCGAGGGCGGCCAGACTTTGGAAGGGGAGCTGGCGCCTTGGTCGAGCCGAGAGCCGGAGTGTTTTGGACCGGCCGAAACGGCGGGCTCCTTTGAAGCGCTTGTTTTTTTGGTTTGGGTCCTGTTGGAGTTGGTACCCCTTTTTGAAGGGGAAGCCGTCCACTTCGGGGGTTCCGATTCCTAGTTTGAGACAAGCCCATTTGGTGTCAATTGAAAGCAGTAGCTTTCCACCAGGCCGAGAGAAGACCATCTTGTTGGGATGGGGAAACACAAGGATGATTTTGGGCAAGCTATCACAGGATTGTTATAACGCTCAAAGCATGGCCCAACCAAAAGGCTAGAAACATCGTCTTGGGTCCTCTTGTGTTCCTTTTCCAAGGACTGACCTTCTACCCGTGTGAAAGGACCCTTTGGAACAACTCGGTGTAGACACCTCAAGGGGCCAATGGCGACATGGGTAAAGGGTCTCTTTCTTTTGGTTGCAATTCCCTTATTTTAGGTTGGATGACAAGTCCAGACTCTTGCGGCTTATTTTGGAGGCATGTTGGCGGCACCAAAAGGGACGGCTAAGGAAAAGCAGCTGCAAGCTGAGTTGCTCCCTTGTGTTTCTGGGTTCTCCATTTGGGGCGGCATTGCTTGGGTTGCTCTTGATGTTTTCCTGCCTGTCTTGTTGAAGGGAAGCGAAACAGCAGCCTTACGAAATCTTCCCTTCTTTCTCATGTGGATGCACTCGCTTTATTGAGCAAAGGCTCTTTTCTAATTCTAGTATATTAATCTTGGGCCAGGATGTTGCAGGGCGCTTTCTGTGATCCGAAGCCCTGTTCAACTGGCCGCTGATTTTGGTAGGCAGGGGTTCTTGCAGTGCAAGGCGCCTGACCGTTCAGCAAGGCTGACTCATGTTCATGGTGCGAAACAGGCGTGAGGTCGCACAACCGGCCGCGCTGAGGACTTGCAAAAGACCCTCAGCAAGCTTTGAGGGCGAAGGACCCGACATGAGACGCCAAAGACGCGCCGCAGCGCCAAGAGCTCCGTTGACGATGCCTTTCGCGGGGCAAAAGAAAGGCCGCGGACGGCCGTCGTTTCAGAAGGGCGAGGCAAGACATCGCTGCTTCAGGAAGATTGTGGGACCTGTGTGTGCTTGTGTGTGTGTGTGTGTGTCTTGGGTTATGCTCGTATGCTGTTATTCGAAAGTCATTCCAGACACCCCACTTCTGCAATGAGCAAATCATCTTGGCGGCGCAGGCTTGGAACAGGGTCAGGAAGTCCAACAGGTCTACACTTTGGGGAGTCAGCTGCATGCCCCTCTGACGATCTAGGCGGCTATGCGCAACCTCCAACCAAGCACTGGCACTCGGTCAGAGCACCAACCCAAACCCATGATCCGATCTTGCGCTTTCGGGACCAACTGGCTACTGCATTTGACTTGCTGCGTGAGATCTCGGCTGAGGAGATCGGGGTGCAATAAAGTCAGAATGTGCGAGAGGCTGCGATCCAGTTGGTGTAGACATATCTGATCAGGGACAGCTGGGTGCACATTGAATCGAAGTGATCACCTCCAAAGATTGGATGCTGCAGTGACCTCACAAGATAGCTTGCCCATCATGTACCTCAGAGTCGGTCTCAAACTTTGTCAGTCCGCATACGGTGGCTTAAAGTGGTATTGCACAAAACTTCCACGAGTTTGCTGGGCTGTAATGCTACTGTAATACAAATGTCATGGAAGTAAGCAGGCTTGAGCCTTCCTAGCCTTGTGTTGACCCCAGAAGGGTTGAATAGCGTTGTGGTTCACTACGGAATTCATGTGATACGCCTCTCATGGGTGCAAGTGTATGGCACAATTCCCTTGGCTTCATCCACCTTACTTCCTGGCGGAAGGGGACCTTTCACCCTGGAGCAGTTGACCTATCCGGAGTTTGGTTGTCACCCGCGGCCTGAGGCCGGCCTTCTCTGCGAGTGACGCCTTGCTGCTGTCATCCCCTCACAAGTGAAGAAACCTATGTTTGTACAGCCAGTAAAAGTTGGATCCCGCAGAAGCCAGCAATTTGTCAGCTTCTTTTGGGGTTCCCTTGTTTGGATTCCATTCTATTTTGCGGGGCGTGGACAAGGATCCTTTTCAGGAGGATTGTAGTCTTCCAAAGCTATCATGTCCACTCCGTGATTGTTGGACAAAAGGGCAGTCGGTTGCTTCTTAGAATCTGTTCAATTTCTTTGGGGGGGGCAGCAAAGAGCAAGTGGTTTGGCTGGGTTGGGATCTTGTGGTTTTGAGCAGGCCAGAGTTTGAGGGCCGTGGGATCAGTTGCCAAGCAGAAGGATTCTCGCCGTCTCACTGCCTGGTACTTGAAGACCGCTCCGCGCCCGCAAAAAAGATGAAAGACTTGATAGGGTGGAAAACTCCTCTCAGAATCCTCTAGGACATGCATCCCCCATTTGTATGCATCCCCAGTGGTTCACTGGGGCAGCGCTTTCCGATGGAGTTGACAACTCCCCCCCTCCTCACTCAGAAACCTGAAGGGAGAGGAACAGACACAGCCATATGGGTTTGTCTCAAGACAGGCGATCCCAAACTGATTGGCTTCCCCTCGGCTGTTCACTTAAAACCAGGGTGTCGGGTTGGAGGGAGGGCAACACACTGGCAGAGCGACATTTCCCATCCAGAGAATGCTCAGCGCTTTCCCACTAGCACCCATTTTTCCCCATTTGGGGGGACCCCAGGGTGGACATCAAATTTAGGTGGGGGCTGCATGTCCAGCAACCATTTCGGAGCTGGTTCCGTATGAACTTGCTGGTTCTACATCCAATGTGGGACTGAACCCAGGCTTTGGTCCCGAAGGAAACCGCCAGTTGGATGTCTTATCTCGGGGTCATGAGCCATTTCTCATTCCCTGCATGGGTGTGGGTCAAAAATAGGTAGCCGAAATGATACCTGGTAGATGGAAACAAGGACTAAAACCCGCGGTACAATTCCTGGTTTGAGGTTTGAGGGTATGCATTTTGTTGGCTCACCTGTACCCATGAAGGAAAAAACATCAGTTGGATGGCTTAGCTCGGGGTCGTTCCGCTTCTCATTCCCTGCATCTCTCGCGTCTATCGCGAGTGACAATCCACGGCCCAAGCGCCGATCGCACCGTGGGCAGGAAGGTGCGGGAGCGGCAAGCGCAGCAGCGCGCTCCGGTGCAGCGGCTCTGCAACCCTCGACCTTTAGGCTTCAAGATGAATCCGGAGGTTTGAATTCGTCTTTCTCCGTTTTTGAGGGTTTTGTTTTTGTGAGCCTTCAAAGGAAGACCAACTGGAACTCCTTTTGAGGAGTTTGTTTTTGCGAGTCTTCAAAGGAAGACCAACTGGAACTCTTTTTAAGGGGTTTGTTTTTGTGAGTCTCCGGATTGTTTTTGTGAGTCTTCAAAGGAGGATCAACTGCAACTCCTTTTGAGGGGTTTGTTTTTGCGAGCCTTCAAAGGAAGACCAACTGGAACTCCATTTGAATGGGTTTGTTCTTGTGAGCCTTCAAAGGAAGACCAACTGGAACTCCTTTTGAGGGATTTGTTTTCGAGCCTTCCAGTTGGGAGACCGACTGGAACACCCTCCTGTTTCAAGGATGTAGAAACAAATTCAAGGGAATCCGAGTAGAACTGCTCATCTACCCAGAGGGTCCACTTAACTCACGGGGAAGGGGGAAGGGTTCGATTTTGAAAGTGTTTTGAGCGTTTTGGCTTTGTTGAGCCGTCGTCGGACAGGAGTTTCTCCAACGGTATTTGAACTGACGTAGCACGCAGTAGCGCTTTCTCAGTTGTTCAGTGGCACCCTTCTCCCTTTTTTTTGTGGTTACTCCACTAAGAATGGTCTTCCCCAAAAAAAGGGGTCCCTTTTTTTTCCAGGGTCACTGAACAACCGAGCACTTTTGAACAGGCTGAGTCTTCTTCCATTGTGAGATTGGCCGCCGGCTTCGTCATATAGCAGATAGGCTGCACATGGGCGGCTGCAGTGTGTAATTACGCTCATCTTCAAGTTGTGGTTCTTGCCATTGGCATGACTTTACAGAACCAACCCCTTCACGGAAGCTAAGAGGAGGTGGCTTGGACAAGGTTCCTTGAAGGGGTTGGTTGAAGCAAGGTTCCTTGTGGAGCTAGGAAGAAACTATTTCAAAGCAGGTTCAAATCAGGCTAGCCCAGCCCTTGCAGATCCTGCGAGGCAAGTGTCCGCCCTTTGTGTACCAACCTCCGGAGGCGAAGCGATTCGGGGCCTGATGGGTGGGTGGAACAGTGGAAAGGCTGGAAAACATGGGCTGTTCAGCTTGCAAGTCTCATTTTTACATTGCTAGACCTGGCTTGCCTTTTCTACCTTTTGACTTTTCGGTTCTAGTGTTCATCCCTTTTCCTTTTTAACCCAACAGTTAGCCTTTTGCAGGGACAGTGACGATTGGCCATTGGATAGGCAGGAGATCAGGGGCCCATAGCCATGTCCATGATGTTCTCTATGAAGACGAGACCATGCCCCCCTTGTTTGGTTTCCCTCGCAGTGCATTCCGGCAAAGTTGAGGTGATGCCATTGGATGGCACTATGTTGCAGACAGGATCAAATGCGCCATGGACAAGCCAAACAACTGCAGGGATGGTCATGGACCCGAAATTTAGACCTATTGAGGGAGGCTCTTTCTTCTGGCCGTGTGGGGCCGTTTGCAGGAGGAGCACCAGGCCGCCGCACCGCCACCGGTGCCGGCCGCGGCGCCGTATCCGCCAGCGCCGGCGCCGGCCGCGGCGCCGTCTCCGGCGGATTTGGCGCCGGCGCCGGACGAGATGGCGGACCTGCTGAGCTTCGAGGATTCCCCCTGCAGGCCGGGACCTCTCTTGACGAGGCTACATGGCTCCTTTGGTTTTTCCACAGCTGAAAGCTTTGGGGTCTCAGCCAGATAGGCTCCGGGGTGGTCCGCGGCGGCCCGGAGGTAAGGTTCCACGAGGGTTCCACCAGGGTTCTACCAGGGTTCCACCAGGGTTCCACGAGGTTCTGCAAGGGCTGCAGGGTGGTGCAAGCACTAAAAAGAGCACCGCGTGCTGTTGGGGATATGAGCTGAGCTTATTGTTTTTCTTCTCGGGGCCCTGCAAAACGGAAGGAACCCGGAAAAAGGAGGGGGGTGCCCAAAAGGTCCTCTAAAGATGCATGGGTTGTTTGAGTTCCATTTCAATTTGCAGCGGAGTGATGTGGGCCTTTGTAGGATATGCCCGCTGGGGGCAGTCCTGAAATTGGGTCTTTTTTTCGGATGGGGTGCCAGTTGAAAACCAAGAGGAAGCCCCCACCATTTCTAGTGGTTCAGTTCAGGAAAGCACGGGGACCAAAGTTAGATATATCCTATATCTCTTCTCGCTCTTAGATGACTAGCGTCGATGTGACTCACCCAGCCCATTTCACTGAAGCCCGAGCCGGGCCAGGGGCGGCGACCTCTTGGACTTTGACGCGACCAGGTGGGGGGTTTGGATCGGACTGGGGGACTGGGCTTGACCCCATCGGGGAGGGGGGGGATTTTGGTCGGGCACACTGTTGGTGCCGGTGACACGGGGAGCGCACCTATTTTCCGGAATTCGGAGTTCTCCGGAGACAAACCAACACATGAGCTTTTCAAGTTCGCACTTGTGGTGAAGCCTATTTTGAGCGCAATTTTTTGAGTGTTGGCGCGCCTCGTAGATTTCCAGGTGTTTGGACGAAAGCACTGCTGGAATTGTCCTACATATGTTCAGCTGTTGGCAATTCCTGGAACGTGTGGGCCGAAATAGCTCGGGTCATTCTTCAAATCAACATTCTAGTGGATTTAGGTTCCCAAGCATGTTTTGGGCAGTTGGAAAGGCTGCAGGCTCCATGTGTTTGTTGCCTGCCTGCCTGCCTGCCTGCCTGCCTGCCTGCCTGCCTGCCTGCCTGCTTGCTTGCTTGCTTGCTTGCTTGCTTGCTTGCTTGCTTGCTTGCTTGCTTGCTTTTGTTCCCACCTCGCTCAAGTTTGAATGTCCGCGCACCTTGGGCATTACAAGCTTGAGCTGACATCGACGTCACTTGTGTGGATGTCCACGTTGATGCCAGCCATGCAACCCTTTTTTTTGTTTAGCCTGCCAAGAAAAAAGCAGGTGCATCCTCCTAGCAATGGCAAGCTTCCTTCCTATTGGCCTTGTCCACAT